ACAAGCAGCTCCTTATCCAGGAGGTGCAGTTGCTCCCATCTTTAGGGGCAGTGGAAGAGGTTCCTCAGAAGCACGGGGGCGAGGGCTTCTATTCCCGGTATTTCCTAATACCGAAAGCCAAAGAGGGCCTTAGGCCCTCCTTGACTGACGAGAACTCAACAAGTTTGTGAAGAAACTCAAGTTCCGTATGGTCTCTCTGGCCTCCATCATTCCCTCATTTGAGCCAGCAGACTGGTATGCTGCCCTCGCCTTAAAGGACGCGTACTTTCATATCGTGATGACCCAGCCCCGCAGGAAGTACCTCAGGTTTGTGGTGAACAACACTCACTCCCAATTTACTGTTCTCCTGTTTGGCCTGTCAGCAGCACCTTGTGTTTTCACCAAGTGCATGGCAGTTGTCACTGCGTTTCTGTGCAGGCACTGAGTACAGGTGTTTCTGTACCTCGATGACTGGCTGATCAAGGGCCGCTCCAAGACCCAAGTGGAAGGTCAGGTCAGATTCATCAGAGCCACCTTTGTCAACCTGGGTCTCTGTCTAAACGAAGCAAAATCGACTCTGTCCCTAGTCCAGAGGATAGAATTTATAGGGGCAATATTGGACTTGACCCAGGCCAGGGCATACCTGCCATAAGCGAGGTTTCAGGCCCTGACCAATATCATTCAAGGCCTCAGACAGTTTCCCACCACCACAGCAAGAAACTGCCTGAAGCTTCTTGGACACATGGCTGCCTGTACCGACATGGTGCAGCATGCCAGACTCAGGCTTTGACCTCTTCAGTCGTGGCTTGCATCAGTGTACCACTCGGCCAGGGACCGCGCCCCCTCTTCCCGGTCCTCGACTCCCTCCTATGGTGGCTTGACCCTCAGGAGGTGTGCTCAGGCATTCCCTTTGCCAGTCTGCAGCAGTCTCTGTCGCTAGTGATGGACGCATCAGACTTGGACTGGGGAGCACATCTAGGAGACTGCAGGACTCAAGGTCTCTGGGCTCAGACAGATCTGGCTCTCCACATCAATGTCAGAGAGCTGAGAGTGGTGTGCCTGATGTGCCAGACCTTCCGAGCACACTTAACGGGACAATGTGTATCAGTCATG